ACACTAAACCACCAGACAAACTACATGTATACACATAAATATGCCCACACACTCTCCATTAAAAGCTAATTCATTTCATACCAATGTTTCCACAAGTATTGGGAGATGACATTGAGGTGCCATTCATCATTTGACTGCACTGGAGTGTCCACGTTGGGACTGATGTGAATGCACCGCCAGGAGCAGTGACTGAGACACCAAGATCACCATCAGCACTAAGATGTAAATAATATTATAACATAAGAATTGCTTCAAATTTCAAAAGTTGACCAAAGATCATGCAAGTACATGTACATCTACTATGATGAATGTATTTCCCATAGTGACCCATACCCATGTACATAGATCATAGTACATGTAACATGTACATGTATTTGTAGATGAATTATAGTACATGTACATGACTTACGCTGGTCCTCTGGAGCTCCATGTGTAAGGTATGCCTGGTTTTGATTTCAGCATGGAATATGTCCCTTCCATCATGTCTGGAGATACATAAGCACCAACGCCTTTTGTAACGGAGGAAAAGAGAATAAGGTAAAGAGGATAGGAGGGGAGAGGGAGATGATGTCTCTTACCAATGAGTGCTTCAGTGTTTCCCCCAGGGCACCCAACAGTACTCAGTCCTGGTCCATTGTTGCCAGCACTAGTTACAAATACAACATTGTGCTTCCTAACTAGTGATATGAACTCCTCTAATACAGCTCTATGATGATAAAAATAAAAAAGCTAAATTTGTACATGTGGATATGCATACCCTTTATTGGTCCAGTGAGATGCCTCACCATAACTGTAATTGATAAGATCACAATGAAGCTCAGCCAATATGTTGCACTATAAAGAAAGAGAAAGATAAACATCATTTTAAATACCACACCACAACAAAAACAGTACATGCACATTCAGTACATATTTATAACTAAAGGTTCTCTCCCCTCTCCCTCTCCTTCTCGCTCTCCCCCTCCCCTTCCTCTAACCCCTCTCCCCCCCTCTCTCTCTCTTATTTACAGCTCTAAGAAGAGACGGCCCAGTCTCCATTGTACTCAGTCTAGTGTCACCGACTTTAATACCAATGATCTGTGCCCCAGGGGCCACACCATTCTTCTCAGGAGACGATGGGAAATAAGCAGCTGCAATTGATGCAACGTGAGTCCCGTGAGAACCTGGAGGAGAGAGGATGAGAGGATTGAGCAAGTGAAAGCTAGACTGACCTCCAGTAGTAACAATGCTCAGAAGATTACCATTGTCATAGACGTTAACTGAATAATTAAACATATCTAGAGTAGAGAGAGGGAGAAAGAGAGAGAGAGAAAGAGATTAGTAATACAAATTACATATTTCATGTACAATATAATTATGCATTAGTATACCATTGTATCCAAACTTGACCCAATGCTGTGCTATTTTGTACGAGCAAAGACAAGGAATGTCACGGAGATCGCCATCTTTGGTTGTATCAATAGCAGCTCTAGTGAGAGGAGGATTAATAGCTTATAAGCAACCTCTAGAGGATAAACCACTCTTATTCTTTCTCTGCTCTTACTTCCAATAGGATCCATCATTAAACACAATGCAATCATAGAAAGGTCCTGCTATGTTATTCTTTGAATTTAAGCTGT